CGATAAAAAAAATATTTAGTTGCTATTTAAGAATAGAGGTTATAAAAAACATTGCAAAAAAAAGTACCCCCACGCATGAATCAATTGCTTATCATAGACAGCATTCGTTATTATAATCTCAAGCAATATCTTATCGGGCAATGAGCAGGCCTAGCCAAGACCAACTTTATAAGGAAGCAAAAACTTATAGGAACACGATAACGCTAAATACATGTGTATTATATATATTTTCAGTAGACGAACCTTGATATTTATTTCATGGCTCTTGGTTACTGACTGAAGGCAGTTGTCATTATAAAATAAGATATTTATGCGCTGTAAGCTTGTCTTCAAAACTCGCCCGGGCCCGGACACAGACCCGCGTCTCTTATTATTAACAGTTAAAGAAAGGGTAATTGACTATCCAACAGCTTTTCTGCCTTCGGCTATCCTGCCTTCCAGCTGCATTCGAAACTAGTTTTGCAGATAATATACGAGTGAAAAATAAATATTGAGACGCTGCGTGGATATTTGTGTGTGCCTTGGCTATCTGTCTGTCTATGTTATGCGTGTGTGTGTGTGTATGTACTTACAGAAACCCGTCGTCAGAAGCACAAAGAGCAACACACTGCAGAATGTTAAACCGTTGCTGACACGCATTTTCGCTTTATTTGCCTGAAAACTTTTTTTTTATCAATTATTAATGAATTCGCTTATCACACGGTTGAAAATTAAATAATGTTCACTCAAGTGCGTCAGCTGATATTTTTCCCAGGTGAGTAAGCTTTGGGATTTTTAGCAACCAATTATTTAAACATAAAACACTGTTTGATCATTTAACGCGTCCACGTTCGCGACCTTTCTGCGCGTGCGTTCACGACAAGTTGCGATTAAAGACTGAACGCTAATTCTTTATGTGAGTAGTGTTTAAGCTTTTGAGAGGTTTCAAAGCTGAAGAGCTTTCGTCAAGTTCAAAGATAACGGGCATAAAAACGAATGACTAAGAGAACTTATTTGGGTTTCGCAAACCAGTTCGTGTTGTAGCTACTGACTCGCTGCCACATGTGGTACGAATGTACCAACTCTGACACTTTCTGTTGTTGTTACACTCCTTTATCGGTATAGGATATAGTTGTAAGACAACAACCTAACTTTATTTTATAGCACTATCAATTACAGCACAATCCACTTGCCTGGGGTTCGAGACCGGAGACCGTTGTTCAGCTTTTAACTCTCATGTAGAGGTTATTTTAATATACCCTTGTAGAAATTCATGAAATTTTTAACGCATAGCAGGAGACATTTCCGACCTCATAAAGTGTATATATTCTAAAACAGAGCATCAACAGCCGAGTTGATATAGCCATATCTGTCAGTCCGCCCGTCCACCTGTCCTCTTGTTTGTTTCTACGCAAAATAGTCTCTCAAATTTAAAACCATTCTTTTGCAACATTGCACAGGTACGGCTTTCTGTTGCAGGCAGTACATATCTTGCAACCGGCCGGAAAGGAACAGTATATCATATTGCTGACATAAATGTAATAAGTTATCAACATTGAAGCACTATATCAAATAGCTGCACTAGGAAAGATCGGTCGAAAATTAAGTTCTTGTATGAAAATCTTTTGTGTTAGGATATCTTGACCAAACACGGAATTTATTAGTGTAACTATACTGCTGAAATTATAGCAAAATCTTCTTAATGGCGCATTACTTTATTATATAGAACTATAGGAAGAATCGGTTGAAAAATTAGTTTTTGTATGGCAAAATATATTTTTCAAATTATTTATATCAAACTTAACATTAACGAGTTTCACTATTCTGACATCTGCAAATCCGTAAGACAAATGTTTAAAGGTCGGAGTTCCGTTTCTAATTGTTTTGGTTTATAAGATTTTAAACAAACATATAAAAAATTGTTATTTTCTAGTTTCGGCAAATGCTAATGGCTAAAAATGTACAAATTAAGTGAATATGATTTAAGAAACTAGAAATATAATTTTTATTAATAATAAAGAATTGCAATTGTTCATTAAATGTTGTTTGTTGAAATTACTGGAATAACACGTTTTTCTTCTTTTTCTACACAGATATAAACCCAAACTAACAATGACATTGATATACATTTATCTCTTTTATGTAAAGGTATTTTATTATTTTATTCTAGAAGTTATTTGTGTAGCGTTTTGGTTTTACAAATTGTTGTGTGGGCTTTGTATATGTGGCTTTTTAGTTTCAGCTATTCGGTACAGTGAATTTATGTCTAAGCCAAACGGGTGCTTAAACTGGCCCTAAAAATACGTAACAAATCTCCTATACTCAACAATTTAACTTAAGAATTACTAATTGCTTGCACTTTTAGCTTCATTTAAATTTGGGCCAAACACTTGCGGCCTCCGAGCGCCGCCGGCCACGCCGCACTCTGAGCACCCAAGCTCACAGGTTCATATACAGCTTACAAGATAGGTTAAAATATACAACATATATAGCGCCATGAATGGGCGGTCAGGGTGAAGCGTAGCCGACGATGACCGTGGTCCGCCAGAGCCACGCGCTAGATGCACAGTCGAGCCAGTAATCTACTGCATCACAGATAAAATAGGAAACTGACCAGCAGCTCCGGCTCGATTAACAAACGCACGCGACTAGCAGCTGACAAAACCATCGAAGTAATATAAGAGCGAAACTTTTGCACACATTTAAAACCAACTGCTACGGGTTTGTAGAAGTGTCTGTCGTTGGTGTGTAGTGTCTGGGATTGATGAGAAACTTAAACTGCTTAGAGGTAAATTGTGTGCAGCACGTTTAAACAAATTGCTCCTGGCTATTGGCTGATAGCTCCATCAGCCGCCAGGCAGCCTTGGGATTGAGTTCGTTGCGATCGCGGCAAAGCACCCACACGTAATGAACACGCATTACCTTGTCGGGATTGCCCTCGACAACTTGGGCCTTTTGGTCGCGCACGCACATGATCTGCTGCGCCTGGAACGTGATGATTAGCACTGGCCCCTGCTCCATGACTTTTCCCATGGCGAGCTCGATGTTCTCAATGTCCAGGATCTTGGAGTCCAGATACAGGCCAGACTTTTTCGCTTGCATTATGGGCGTGGCAATTATGTTGTACGTACTTTCAAAGCACCAGTCCTTTAGGATTTCCAGATCGCCTCGCACAATGGCCTCTAAGACATTCGGTATAATGTCCTTTTCGCAGTCATATAAAAACTCCTTCTGATCAAAGTTGGGATCGATTTTGACCAGTTCAGTCATCGTCTCGGAAAGCTCTGTTTTAGAAAATAGACCGCCCATTACATCGGACACCTTGTCGGTGAGCAGACGGGAGGCTCTGATTACAGGATTTTCCGATTCATCGTACTTCACTTTCCAGTCGAGAACTTTGTTCACATACGTGTTGTTATTTTTGAAATTCTCCCAAGACTGGTAGAACTTGGAGTCTTTATGGAGCTCCAATCCTAAAAACAAATAGTTATTTACTTTTCTAGCCGATAGGAACACACCGCTTACCTAATGCCTCGGTATTCGCCTCCACAACACGCGTGCTATCGGACATATCCACTTGCACACGCTTTCGCAGCCTAACCGGCGAGCAATATACGCGATTTTCTATACTCGTTTCATTCATTTCTTTTTTAAGCAGTTTCGTTGTATCAGAGATAGCTTGAAAAGCTCCAGACTGGCCAAGTTTACCGCTAGTGTCCGTTATGGTGTCACTAACGCCCTTTGCCGTTTTGGAAAGCTCCTCAGATACCTTTTTGGCCAGGTCCGATTTGGAAGCATCGTCAATAACATCACCCACTTTTTCCTTGATGGCGCCCAACTGTTCCTTCAATATGTTCGACGACTTTTGCGCTTCCGATTCAACAATGTTGAACTTTTGCCGCGCCGACTTTAAAGCATCCGATTGTTCAAGTTTTTGTGCCTCTTCGCGAAACTTTTTTATGCTATCTTTCATCTCCTTGTTCTTATCCATTTCACTCCTCACATTGTCAATGAATTGTGAAAAAAAGCCGGGCCGACGTCCGGGTGAGCTATATAAACGTTGCTATTCCGTGCACAAATTGAAAGCATATGTATTTGTGTGTAGGTTTTAAATACACTAATACTTACCGGCTGTTGTTGCAGGTTGTAACTCGCTAACTGATACGTAATGAAGCAGGCGCGCTCGCGCGCTAAGGCGGCCAATTTGTACTGCAAAGAATAAGAAGCGGGCATATAGATTAACTGGGATGTACTCGGGCCAAGTTTAACCTCGAATCAGTCACATGTGAAAATTAGTTTCAATAGCTGCGCCTACCAAAACTGTATGAACCTACCATGGTGACAGGTGCTGCTGCTACGATGATTTTCAGCCGGACTTTCGCTATGTGATAAATGCTTAGCGAACTCACGTCAATCGTACCAAATTTATGTAATTCGCACTCTGAAACGCACGTATCAAAATTTGAGCATCAGCTGTTTTGAGCGTGCAGTGTTGGCAAACGACGAGTATAGTGCTGTGCAATGAATGTGGTCGGCAGCGTATTTCAAATTGTTGGAATCAATGGGGTGGTGTATGTGCAGCAATCGTAATTATGGAGTAATGGCGGTTGATTGTCGCCAAAACTATAGATGATATGTATTATATGAATTGATTTGTATGTCTTGCTTGCTTAGTTTTACTATTTTGTCGATTCCCTTTCAGGCATTCGCTTCTGAGACCATGTGGCAACTCTTTGGGAGAGCGTATTGCGCCGATTGAAACCGTTACTCGGCCAAGCTTAGCCGACTTCCAGGAATTGAGCTACGGGAACGCAGTACGTATTCTCATTTCACTTACATATGTACATACATACACATTTGCTTTTGTAGTTGGCGCCAGTTGCCGATCTTTGGGATTTGACAATTTCTTTTGTACTTGCGCGCCATTTTTGCACAGTGAATTTCAGTTTCACCATAAATAAATATTAAATACAAAGAAGTAGCGCACAAAAATACTTCAAATTTTAAAAAAATATTAACTTAGTTTTATGTGTGTAACAATTGGTGCAAAACAAAAAGTGCATTAACGGCACTTAGTACATCCTACATTCCAATCAATATACATAGTCATTGGCATTGTCATGTTTCGCAGTGGCAGCAGCCTGGAAGGCAATACACCAATTGTAAGTGGACGCCATTACAAAGTCAAAGGTTACTTTTGAAGAAAAAAAAATCAAAATGATATTTTTTTTCCACTTAGGACAATATGTCGTCCTTCCGCGGTCTTGGCGGACTCAATATGTACTTGGACACGACCTCACACAACATCTCGCCACCAGTCTCATCAGCAACTCTGAGTCCCCCAACGACCCCACTGACACCGGAACCTAGTTTGTCGTCGACTCAATTTCCCCTGCTGACGGACAGTAACCACGTAAACTTGAATGCCTCTACTGCGGCCAGTACACTACTGATGCAGCGTCAATATCAATACCACCTGCTGCTGCAGCAGCAACAGCAACAACTTGCTTTTGCGCAGCATCAGTTGGCATTGGCCGCCTCCGCTGCTGCTGCGAATCATCACCAAGAGGACGAGATAGCGCATTCACTAAAAATGTTTGCTTTTCTCACGGCCAGCAACGCAGGTGAGTGCGAGTGGGATAGATAGATAGGCAACGGTACAGTCACAAGTGAACCATAAGAATTTGAAGTTTTTCGGTTATTGAACTTTGATTTGAGCATTTCTTAAACGTCATTAAAGAGGCTCTCCAAGCCGGGGAAATGTTTCACTGTTGATCAGTTAGAAAAGTTAACATTCAGTCGTAAAATAGCTCTAATTAATTTAAATCCACATAAATAGACACTGGCAATTGTTCTACACAGGATGCGATGCAGGAGTTTGCAGCTAATGGCTATGTGAGCGATGAATTTAATCGTTTTCAGTACAATAATCATAGTTCCGTTGCGCCGCAGTCGTCACAGTTGCCAAGCCAGGTTCCTATTTCATCGGCAGGTACTGGGAATGCAACGGCTGAAGGTGCCACCTTCCCGTCTTCACTGGCTGCTGCCCATTGGATCAATCTCAACAATTATCGGGAGCACCTTAACCATGTTTGGCGAAGCATGTCTATGTCCTACATGCCTAATGTGCCAGCCAACATGGGATTGGCAATGCCAACTGCTAGCCAAAACAATATTAACACTATGGGCTTGGCCGTGCCGCCAGATCACATGCGTAATTTAAGTAATTTGAACATAAGCAATAACAAACTGAACAAGCGGTACAACAATGGAAAGACCAAGGAACTGGTAAGTAGATGAACTTCCTTGCGTGCGAAAGTATATAATCATCCTCCATTTTCTGCGCTTAAAAGGTGCCTAGACATTGTGTTTTCTGTGAAAACAATAACGAACCCGAAGCTGTGGTCAACAGCCATACAGTGCGTGACGCGTACGGACGTGTGCTGTGTCCCAAGCTTCGCACTTATGTGTGCCCCATATGCGGAGCATCCGGCGACTCGGCGCACACCATAAAATACTGTCCTAAGAAACCCATTGTCACAATGGAGGATGCCATTAAGGCAGAGTCATTTCGATTGGCCAAAAGCAACTACTACAAGCAGCAGATGAAAGTTTAAGAGTGGGAAAAGTTCTGGTAGCTTTTCAAGCGTTTATATAACAGTTGTATATACGCGTTCCACACTAAAACGGTCAAAAACAAGCTGCAAGAATAATGCGCCTAGCGCGATCGATTTTATTATATTTTGTTTAGCACTTCGGTCAGTTTAGTGTAATCAGTAACTAAACACGTTCAAACTTCAAAATTATGTTTGTTTCATAAATTCAATCACTAGAATATACTTACAATATCGGAATTGTAAAATCGTAGCGGCCGATAAAAATGTCTCAAAACTGGCTTATTGATTTGTGCCAGCATTTTTGGTAACGCTAAGAATCTTAGCGGTCAGATAATCTGCAATACTGGTCTGATATATATATATTTATCTATTAATTTTGGATGGAAAGACTTTGAATTTCGAACTGCCAATCGTGATGTATGATTTGAATATTTGCTAAAGAAAAGAGCAATGAATATTTTCGATGGCAACCTTTTCACAGTACAAGTTTTTAAATTTTGACATAAAAAAGTTGATTAACAACCCAATTTTTATTACATGTTTCATTTTTTTTTGTATTATCGCTCATTACCAATATATATCTTTTTTATATATTTATTTAATGATCTTATCTTCAAAACGTATCAATCATGATATATGTATACACATAAGAATATTATTATTTTTTTTATAAAAATGCAAAGGATATTTAAAATGTTCGCATTAAGCAAAAAATGTTCATGTAAATTGAAGTTGAATTTAATGGCGAAATGTCAAATAAAGTAATTTGTTAACCTATATCCGTATATTTTCATTAAGACTATTCGCAGTCGTTTTCTTGGCGTTTTTCGAAGAGCGCCAAAAAGATGCCATCGGTAAGGTCATGATCCGGCAGACAATATAAACAATTTTTTCCGATTTTGACGTACTCCTTGTCGCCCACGTTTTGCCACTTATTTCTCAGTGCCTTCTTGCAACTGAGCAGCTTGAATAAAGGATTTAGCTGGAGGCAGCGCTGAACCACTTGTTCATTCTCCTCCTTCCAAAGGGAGCATGTGCAATAGACAATGCGTTTAACGTTTGGAAAAGCGCTCATGGCATGGGACAAAATCTTGATTTGCAGCCCAGCCAGTTTATATAGACGCTTGTCGTCCTTCTGTTCATCAGACACGCTGATGCGGCTTTGCATTCCATTACCGGAGCAACTAGGGTCTACTAAAACGTACTCGACGTCTGGACATTTTGTAGAATCTATGGTGAAAACTTTGTCAACTAAAAACACCGTTGTTTAATTTTTGTTACTCACCCATGGTAAGAGCATCGCCCAGTATGGGCGTGACTATTTGACAGCCTGCCTCGTTGGTGATGTCGCATAAAGCCTTGTAGCGCTCCTTGGATTGTTCTACGGCATATATGCGGCCTTGGTTCTGCATTACATTGCAAAGATGCAAAGTTTTCATGCCTGGAGCTGCACACATATCCAATACAGTTGACCCAACCGGTGGTGCTAGTAGTTCAGCAGCCAAACAGGTGGCCTTGTTTTGCAATATGAACTTTTTGCTGCGGACATAGTCGTGCGAGGCCCAATAGTGACTCCACTTCGAATGGAATATTAACACCCCTTCCACATGAATGTCTATTAAGAACTCATCCTCTTCCAATGTGCGTATGGCAACCAAAAAGTCAGCGTATGTGGCGTCTGCTGCCAGCTGTTTGCGACGCCACTCCTCGCCATATAAATAATCCAGGGCATCGGCGATACTGAGCAGATTGGTATTGATGCGTACATAGCGTGGATTGGGCTCTGTGTATTTGAGTAAAAATAAAAGCATTTAAAAGTGTTACAGCTTGTTTTTATTACGGCTGATCTTTAACTAAACTACTGTTCCTTCTTATCTTCCTGGTCTTCACTTGCCAACGCAGGTGGATCCTTTTCACGGACCGCCTTTAGCACATACATAGCAACAATGGCATTGACAACCAGAACAGCTGTCAGCACAGAGTAGCAATTCACTTGAAATGTGCTCAGTTCGGGAAATGATTCATCTAGCCAGGTGCGCACACCATAAAAGCCTAAAAAAGGCAGCGTAAACATTAGCACGCTGTAGGCCATTAGCCAGAGAAAAACCTCTAAGCTCTTATCCACCGATTGTTCGTCAGGTTGTGCTGAATTAATTTCCTCAGTTACATCTTCCGATTTTATTAGTTGCACGCTCGACTTTATTGGTGCCACAGCCAGTGGAGATGGCTTTTTCGACTTTTTGGTCATTGTCTTTTGATAATTAGCAGATGACTGCCACTAATACTGGTTGAAGTACAGATACGTCTATGTAAGAGCACCTGCCTTTCTTCTGGTATTCCACACTGCTTACTGCCTGTTGCAATCGCTCCTTATACAAGCGCACTGTTTGCACCGGTCTGCTTTCCCCGTTAAGTTCTCCGCGTCCGAAAATCAGTTCCGTGACAAGCACTTTGGCTAATGCTGAGTCTAAATTTGGATTATCTTTCAGTAACCCAGTCTCCTCGATGGCGTTGTCAACAGCTCCTCTGTTGTCACTGTAATGTTTAAGAACCGCCTGCAAGCTTCGTACGCGCTGTTAAAAAAATACACAGTATTTCTCATTAGCTGCTTGTAGATCTGGGTTTGTTTTAAACTACTTACCGCATGCTTTTCCTCAAATATAAGGGATTTTATTGATTTTTGTTTTTCGATAGCCGCTTTCAATATTTTGGCTGTTGCTTTATATTGGGTGGGCACTTTTATTGAATGTGTAAATTGGCTCATGATGTATCACGTGTAAATTGAAATCGAATCATTCGGAATAAGTTCTTTTGAACGATATATTAAATTGAACCAATGAATTTGCCCATTCGTTCATTTAGTTCGATATACATGATACATTCTGTCACTGTTAAACTCTAGAACAGCGCGAAATTTGTCTGCTAACATTTGGTATTACGACTTTTATTAGTTGCTTCCAAATCAAATATGTCAAAAATAATAAATAAATGTACAGCCACAAGTTTATTTTTTTTAAATGTTGCTAGTTTTGAAAGCAAAAAGCAAACCCGGATAAAAGTAAATATTAGTGGTGCACAAACCGCTTTAAATTATATTCAATAACAGAGTCGTAACAGATATGCTGCGGTTACTGCGGACCACTTAACATAGTTCATTTTCGATAAATAACGCATCAAATAAATTAAAGCAATGCAAAATTTGATGAGAAAATAAAAAGCATTTTTGTAATCAATTGATTAACAGTAATGCTTACTTGGTCCGGGAAATAATAAGATTAAAATGTAAAGGATACTTACGTAAATGATATCTGATAGTGTAAAGGGCAAATCGTCAACATGCGTTTGCCGTGGATTAAGCAAAAGCAGACTACTATCACTAACCAAATAACATATAGACTGGTCAAACCGTATATTTGTTGGTGACAATCGTTTTTTTTGCGGCTGGTCCAAAGTCGCCTTCGTTTTTGTTCGGGTTCGAGACATGCCCGCATGCTCTCACAGCAAGAGAGTAAGAATACATATGGCCTGTGTCGTGGAACGGCAACGCTGTCTTTTAACTCGCTCCCACAACAGGAAACTGCTTTGGCTTACTCTCAGTGCTCTTTCAATTTGTCTATGTACCGTTTAAATGTTTGTGTGTGTATGTGTCCGCACAAGCAAAAATGCCCACAAATTCAATTTTTCTCAAAAGTCGGTGGCATATCTTCCTTTTTGAGAGACGAGTAATATGAAACAATGAAAGGGTTTGCTCGTTCTAATTTTAGCTCGTTCTTGTTCGAAAGGGTACTTAAGCGTTGGCATGTGTGCATTTAAAAGTTTTTGGACTTGCTATTCACGCATACTTGCGTATTTTGTATATGAATAGAAGCATTTATGCGCATGTGTGCCTGTTGGTCCCTGCCTGGCTTTCCGATGCAAATTTATCAAATATTTTTGGATATCTGAATTTCGAGCTCTACACACACACACAGAGACACAAATGTGTGTAAATGGGCTGATCATGGGCGCAAAATTCAAAATATCATTATTGGACCGCGTTTGACGCGCGCCCTACTTTTTATGATTTAGGGTTGGAATTGATGAAAGAAAATCAGATCAAAATCATTTATGAAAAAGCTAAATATTTTAAGACAATAAAATTATAATATATAATCGCTTTTTTTGTATTTGGTATATTTGAATATTTTAAAGATTTTATTTTTGCACAAATATCCGATTGTCATAAAATTAGTTAAGTGATCAGTCACTTCACCTTCATATGCAGGTGCAGGTGCTTGCCAAAAGTTTATCCTTTCGGCCCAACGGGCTGCTGCAGGTAACAAGGGGTCAACATTCATTCATCAATTCAAACCCTAAATCATAAAAAGAAGGGCGCGCGTCAAACGCGGGCCAATAATGATATTTTGAATTTTGCGCCCATGATCGCCCATTCACACACATTTGTGTCTCTGTGTGTGTGTGTAGAGCTCGAAATTCAGATATCCAAAAATATTGTCAAATTTGCATCGGACAGGCAGGCAGGGACCAACAGCCACACATGCGCATAAATCCTTCTATTCATATACAAAATACGCAAGTATGCGTGAATAGCAAGTCCAAAAACTTTTAAATGCACACATGCCAACGCTTAGGTACCCTTTCGAACAAGAACGAGCTAAAATGAAAGGATTTCGCATCGACTTGGCAAACCCTTTCATTATTTCATATTACTCGTCCCCTCAAAAAGGAAGATATGCCACCGACTGTTGAGAAAAATTGAATTTGTGGGCATTTTTGCTTGTGCGGACACATACACACACAAACATTTAAACGGTACATAGACAAATTGAAAGAGCACTGAGAGTAAGCCAAAGCAGTTTCCTGTAGTGGGAGCCATGTGTATTCTTACTCTCTTGCTGTGAGAGCATGTGGGCATGTCTCGAACCCGAACAAAAACGAAGGCGACTTTGGACCAGCCGCAAAAAAAACGATTGTCACCACCAAATATACGTTTTGACCAGTCTATATGTTATTTGGTTAGTGCTACTACAAACACATATGAACATAGTTGTATTTAAATATAACCCCAGTAACTGCGGTATATTTAAGGCCTTTTATTTATTAGCCGTAGATGCGAGCAAAATTTAAAAGTATATTTTAATATATGTATATGTTTTATTTCATAGACAACGACTAAAATGCATTTAAACATATGTATGTTGTAGCTTAGCTAATTGTGTAAAAATTCATGATTTTGGTTAAAATTAAGAGCTTCATTATATTTAAACACAAAAGAGGTGACTACAGCTAATACGGGAGTTTTATGGTATATTGTTATGAGTACAAATTCAATTGGTAAATGCTTATCTTATCAATGAATTAAACTATTGCGCGCCTGTGTTGTCAATTTCCTACGTGCTATTATCGCTGTAATCGGGCTTGAGCAAGTGCAACTTTGTTGAAATGGGTCGCGATGACGATGTTAGTAATGACGATGAATGCGAATGAAAAGTGCTGGCGGTGCCTGATGGGGACGTCACGTTGCTGCTACTTAAAGGCACCAGATTCAAATAATCCGTCACTGGTTGCACACCTGGCTGAGTGGTGGAAAGGAAATCCTCTGGGAGCTCACCGCGATAGGCACCAAACTGTGGAGTGGTTCGTATTAGCTTTTCTAAAGGGGTAAGCCCAAAATGTGTGTGACGCGAGTTTCCACTGTCGCGTGCATCCAGTTTCGGTGGCAGCACTAGCGTGCTATCCACCACAGATTTGCCGTCAAAGGTGTAAACGGCACCGCTTGGGATGCTGGCATGTGGAATTTTCCGATTATCTGGTGGCAAGTAGTACGTATCAACACGTTCGGCAGCTTGCGCTTCTTTATCGTCAGATTCCATCGGTATGTCGTCAGCTATGGTATCCAGATGAACCTCTTCCTCCGATGTGTCGAAAAGGTTGGCCACGTCGTCATAATTTGGATCTTTCCCGTGTGCGACTATTATTTCAGAAGAGCTTTGTTCTGGCTCAATTACAGATGGCTGAATTGTTGCAGAAAGCCGTTCTTCCGGTCCTTCTGCTTCGCTTTTTGGCTCGTCTTCCTCGCCAGCAAAAAATAATTCCTCCAGAGAAGGCTTCCTTAGTTGAGACGCCGCTGGCAGTGCATGTTTTATTGCCGCTGAGGGCAATCTCAGCGACGATTCGGACGCAACTGGGTCGACCTCTTGCGCCGTTTTTAATGCTAGCATAGTCGCATTGGTGCTGTCCAACGGGGACGGTATGAACATGGGCTCAAAGCTCTGGGTCTCGCTGCCTTGCTGTGCGGTAAGGAAAAGTGTATCTGTTTCCATGACTTCATCAATTTCGGTTCCAGGATCCTCGCGTCTATGAGCCACCTGTTCTATCAGCTCTGGCGGCAGCTGTACGCCGTTACCATCGTTGCGCACAATGGGACGGAAGCCACTCTCAACAACAACGGAATCAGGCTTAAACCCTTGATTAATTGCCGGGCGCATGCTGGCAATTTGTTGTGGTGATGGCTCGTCTGGCAATGGACGTTTGATAATTGGTGTAATCGTGGTAGTTGAGGTGGTCTGAACTGGCTTTTGGTCGGCTTTGGTATTTGTATGAAAATAGGATGTGCTTTTAAGTGATGCTTGAGGTTCCAGGTCCACATACGGTACAGGTAGCGGAATAACGGGTTTCGACTTAATTTTGACACGGTCTGCTGCATCGGTCTTTCTTTGTCCAATACCGCCAAGTTCGGTAGGTTGACCTAATAACAATACCGAAGCGGCTAACGGCTGTATGGGAAACAGCTTTTCCTTAAGAAAGGGTTTTAGCAGACTGGGCACGGGCTTTCGATAGTGATTAACAATCAACGAGGACTGTGGGAGTATTCCTCCGGGTGGAGGATGCTGTTGTGGCAATACTGGCCTGGAGGCAGGTACCTTCTTGATAGGGCCGGGATACGGTCGACGTCCGGGTAACTTGACAGGATGAAAAAGCGGAGCATTTTGCGGTGGACGAAGATATTCGGATAGGCTAATTGTTTTTTGCGCCAGCGCTGGAAGATTACTAGTAAGATTGTGATGTTGCAGTGCAGTGTGAGAATGATAATGATGCGGGGGATGGAATGGGAAGTGTGCATGGTGCAGATGCGGATATTGTAAACGCTGTTGCAAATGAGAGTTAACAATGACAGGCGGTGATTGCGGTGCAGCGAAAATGGGCAGTTTCGAATGAACTGATGAAGTAGAGGCGGATGATTTCAATGAATGAGTTTCGCCATGCAAAATCTCGGGTCTGGCTTGCACCAGCAATGGTTTTGATGGTATTCTAGAGCCAATATTGTCGTTAATGTTGCCGTTGTTGCTGTTATCTCTAAAGTGTGTCGGTGGTGCGGCGACGATCGACTGGTTCCTTAGTAGGCTCTCCTCGAGAGCCTCAGCAGCGCGGATGCCATCTGAAATCAGTTTGGTTATTTCCGAAGATTTCGTTATTTCAAAACTCAGTTTAGGCGGTGTTCCATTCATATTGTGATTCTTAATCAAATCGGTTTGGTGCTTCAATAAAAAATTATCGTTGGGGCTGACCTTGGTTTCGTGGCGAATAGATGACTCGGCGGCATAGTCTTCCCGGACGGGTGCCGGCTCGCGTAACTCGTGCCGCTCTGAGGCAGCGCCAATACCATCACCAGTGCTATCACACGAGTCGTGCACGTGTATCTTCCACCCCAGATAACGATGCGTGAAGCAGTGATAGAAAACGGTGTCTGGCGTATTCCTATCCGGCTTCCAGCTGATCACTCCCGGTTCGCCGACATCGCACTTGAGTGTCAATGTACGCTGGTACGCACCGAAAGATTGATAATCATCTGCTGGAGGTCCGTCCACATCTGGCGTCCAGTTACATAAACGTCCCACGCCAGTAGGCGTAACCTGGCCGGACCTGGAGCGATGAACACCAGCGAAGATGCGTACGGCCTGATCACATGAAAAGTATATATTGTATGAAGTACATCTCAAATTATATATGTCCTTCAATGTTTTACCTTCTTTTCCTCCTCACGCTTGTGCTCATAGCCTCCGACAGGATCATCACTAATATAGAATGGGTGATACTTGGCGGGTATGTCCGGATTGTTGCCACCCTCCACAACAAAAGTGTAAGTCTTGCCTCTCACCACATGAATCTCGGGAATTAGCAAACCATTAATGTACCAGGATATGCCCCAGCCCACGTGGCCTATAAAAGAAGAAAGATATATATGCAATAAAATGATATATAAGAAGAAAATATGTCTTCAGGGACACTCACCGGTAATGGCAGGATAGCCATGCTTTCCTCCTGTCGGGCCCATTTGAGCATAGAAGACACCATCTTCGGGCTCATGGCATTGTATAGCCGGAATATCCCAGGCGCCATTGCTGTTGACCGGCCTAGGTGTTGGTACGGGACGACTTTGCGTTAACACAGCCGTCTCCTGGTGTCTTTGTGGAGCGTGTGCAGGTGTGGTACGTTGTAAGGCCTGAGCGCGGTTCTCATAAAACTCCTCATCGGGCTCAATGTTGGGACGACCTGCAGGCGGATATCCCGCACCGCCAGTAGAGCTAATTTGAGTAACTTCTTCCTCCTGCTCGTCTGAGCTGCTGCCTGGTTTGGCTCCTTCTGGTAAGGGGCAATTCCATTTGGGCTGGCGACCAAACTCTATCTGATGCAAATGCTTATTATAATAGGTGTGGAAGGAAACCTCCCTGTAGTCATTCAAGGGTCCAATCGCCCAGACAACAGACTCTGCATCGCTCACTGAGATGGGCAAATCCAAACTATCAGTGGAGGCCAGCGAGCGTTGATAAGTGACGATTGAGTAGCCATTTACCATTGCCGCATTGAGCAGTCGTATGGAGTTGGTGTTTTGTTGTATCTTGACGTCCGGGCACGCGCCACGACCACCTGAACACTGAGCCTTGCCATCTAGGAAATAATCCTGGGCAAAGCCATTACCTGTCTCGGAATCCACCCAGGCTACAGCGGCATCGGCTCCAATCATTTGGCTTATGTTCTTGTTCGGTGAGATGCCAAAGGACATATAATTGTTGGGTTCTGTGGAGAATCAAAAAGGGGAGTTGCATTCTCAGAAATTCAAAGCTATTGGGATCGCAATCAACGAAAGTTGCTCGCCCCATTTCTGGAGGCCGGACAACATGCTCCTAAATGGGTGCTTAGCCAACCGGTTGCTAGATTCCAGGTGAAAATTCTCGCTGGCATTCTTAGCGGTTCCAAACTGCCACACGCAAGACTCAAGACCAGTAGCATTCAACGCGTGCCACTAAAAAAAATTACACTCGTAGATGGTCATGCTCCAAGATTGTGTGTGCAGAATGCTGAATGCAGATGCGCGCCAACGGCAACGGCAGCATCCATTCGACATGGCCATTAATTGCCCCGTGCTCCATGCGTTGGTTGCGCAATAAACCAGTCGTCATATTTTGCAACTTGTTATTCTACTAACTATGCTGCCGCTGATCGGTCAATTTGGCTGCTAACTGGATTTTTGTTGTTTTGACTTCGATGAGTGCGATTGCTGAGTGTGGATACTCCTTTATTAACTGTACTCGATGAAATGTCAAAGCTTCATAAATCGGATGAATTCGAATGTTCTTAACCTAGCCAAGACCTTCACTCAGGGCTTGGTGCAAAATCTGATTTCTGCCCTTTTGACCTGTCAATACTTCGAAGCTACTTACTAGCTTCATAAATATCTAAGTGGATTAAAAAGACTAATAACACTAGGTTACACAATAATTAGTTTTTTTTTAAGGGTTTGCTTTGTATGAATGACAATATCTCAAAGCATAGCATGTACATATTTAATCAAGCTTCGCATAAAAAGAAATAAGAATTCTACTTAATGTATAAAAAAAATGAAAGAACGGCTAAAATCTGGCTTAAAAGCATGATTGTTCCTATAGTAGCCACTTGATTCAGTAGTCCGATTAGATTCGATTTTGTGGAATAACGAGCTGCGATATGAATACTAAATGTATTGGAAAACTCAAAAATTGTCCGTACATATTTTTCGACAGATTCTTTCTATATAGTTGTTTGATATTGATAATATTATGCTCATATAGAACATAGTTACGTTTGGGAAAGTAGAATTTGGTCAAGAAATCTAAAAAAACTATAAAGTTTTTTACCCAAGAATTTAAGTTTTCACCGTTCGTCTCGTCACCGAGCGATATGTCAGCTATATGATATAGTGGTTCGATCTGGCCGAGCTACACATTTGTATTGTTATTGTGATATTTTTATGGGGACAATTTTAAAGCTAAGAGACTCGTCTGAATTAGAGAGACGAACAGACGTTTTTGGCTATATAGATATGATGATGATCATATTTAATAGGATCTTCATCTATCCGTTACGCAAACGTTGTATCATAGTGTGAGTAGATTGAAAGTGTTGTGAATTGGTAATTTCAATAAATTCGATTTGAATTTAAGGGAAAGGTAATCAATGTTTAAGTTTACAGTACTTGAAATTATTTAACTATGAATATATTTTTACGTACTTACAATCATTTAGCAAAATAAGTCGGAATAGCAAGTTGTTTAGCATGACCATTCGGAACATCAACTTTTTACAGAGTTTGCTCAAATTTGTTTAACAACATATTAGAGCCTCGGAGTGCGAGTTTGCCAATCAATCTTAATTTATCTGTCACTTTGTTAATGCCTTGATTTAAGCAGTTCACGAAGCGCTAAGCATTTGCTTGTCATTTTGCGGCAAGCTATTTTCTTGTCATTAAATTGATTTCACATTTGGGAGAGTGTCAAGTTCGAAATAAAGGTAATCACAAGTATTTCCGCATGGCTGTGCGCTAGCGACTTACCCAATTTGGCAACCAGTTGTACAACGATGCTCTCACCGGCCACTGCCCATCGGACTTCAAAGGCCAGATCATCGTAGAGCACCTCACAGTTGAGCTTGGACTGTAAGAGAATTATTTTGCTTTTGAATTGTCGATAGGCATTGGAATTGGAGCATAATGAAATGAGTGTGCAGGTGTGAAATGCATTAGGTTTAGGATAAGGATTAGGATTAGCATTAGTTTTCGGAGATGGGTAAATAATCAGCGCTTGCCAAAACAAAATTTAGTGTCCGAAATAGAGTCTTATTGTTTTTTGTTGTTTTCAAAAATTTTGCTTTTCGTTTTTTAAAAAATATCACTTTTTTTCTGATTACATCGTTTTATGAAGCATATACAAAATGAAAATGTTTGTGGTTGGGTGGGTAAGGGGCTTCTGGAAAGCACGAAGCAAAAAAAGGTTAAATTATTATGGTTCAGGAGATTGGCGCATGTACATTGTATTTATATGTAAAATATGTATGTTTGTGTGTGTGTTGGTTTTGTGGGTAGGGTAAGGGACAGGGCGGGTGGGGGGAACTGTTGGGTGTACCCAAAAGAAAATATTGCACACATTTCATTTTGTATAGGCGCTCAATTCAAAAAGACAAAGCAAAAGTTTTTCAAGTCAACAAAATACAGAAGACGGCCAATTGATTATTGTATATAAAAATGTGCTGCACATATATTTTATACATCAAATTCGTGAATTGATTCAAATAGTTTATAAAAAAATGCACACTTAGAGTCTAATAATTTAAAAGCAACTCGAATGCTATTGATAAATATGTTGCATACAAATAAATACAAATATTATTTTAAATAAATTCCACGCACACATCAAATGCTTGGCAAGTGCCTATGGCAATCAGGGCTGCAGCTCGCTTAGTATTAGATTTAACGGCTTCTTTACCTGAGGACTGATGCCCAGCATTTTCAGCGAGGGCGGCACATTGAGACCCTCCGGCAGGCGCACGTGGCCAAAGTCAACGGTGAATGCCTCACACCAGACGCCAAAGTGTCCTATATCGAAGATGGTCAGATCTTCGGGCAGTGTTAAAACTATTGTCTTTCGATCGTAGCGACGCAGGGGATTCTCTTTTCCGTTCTCATCAGGTATGCGGAGGCCCTCGGGGGAGGGACGCTGCCCACGACCCACCCAGAACTTGGCGTCTGTAAATTGAAATCAGGTTCCATCGCTGCAATGCCCTTTATTAAGCCATTATTGCTACCATTACTCACCTGGCGCCTCACCGTCGTAGCTAAAGTTGGGTACCAAGAGCGTCTGTGCATCCACAATGACAATGTTATCGGAGGACACTCCGTGTACACCCCTCAGCGCGCTGATCTTTTGCGGACGTGGAAAATCCAAAGTGCTCGGAATGGCGACATCGCCGAAGTTGACAGCAAACTCATCGCACCACACCGAAAACCACTTGACGTCTCGGAGCGTCTTGCCTTCCGGCAATGACAGGGTAATGTCCTTGTTGCGATAGCGACGCGTCAGTGCAGCGGTACCTCCCCGCTCGTCTCTTAGGCGAGCGGCACCCTCGTTGCTTGGTCGCGCGGTGTTTCCTACATAAAAATAAGCGGCGGGCGCTTCGCCATCATAGTTGAACTTCTTGATGAATATGGTTCGAGAATCTACGGCATACACGTCGCCGGAAACGCCATGATGTAGTCGTGTTAGGGAGCCAATCTTTGTGCCGTAATATGGGTAGGCGGCATCACAGCAATGCTGCAGTGCTGTTTATATTTATTTTTTTTAACGAGAAAACAAAAACAAAAGCGATTCCGCGAATGTTAGGCAAACCAAAACAAAAGACTTAGGCAACGAACTTGAGTCGGCATCAGCTCTCGACTCACGCGAGCTAACTAAAGCGAAAAAATAATAAAGTAATAAATAGACAATTCTCTGGCAAACACTTAGCAGCCACTTAATTATTCGCATCAAATTTACATATTAACAGCAATTTTGAGTTCTACAACAGCAATAAGCACGTCATATTCTTGGCTGGCAAATTAATGTTGACCAGGCCAGAACAGAACAGAACAGAGCAGAGGAGAACAGAACTGATCAAACCACATCACATCAGACTTTTGTTTGTTTTCGGTTCTGATGGCTTCTTATGGCTGCATGCGTTGGCTTTTATGATGATGACTATATAGTATATGCTGCTCTAATGATGTTAGTCATAAACTTGATAGGGTACAGGAAGTTTTCGCTTCATGCCAAATAAAGTTCAACAACAACAATGGAGTTTGGGCTAAGCAGAGTTTGTGATGCGTGTAACACAGATCTTTTATTTCTGTTATTTGTTTAAACAAAACAGAACAACAGAATTATGCATTCACGGCAATTTCAAAGAGTTTCAATGAGACAGATATTAATGGCCCGTGTGCTGAGTGGAAAAAACAAAAACAAAGGCAAAAAGAATTGCGTCTCCTATTTTGGTTTAATTTTTGGGCAGATTCTATTTATAAGTAATGTGAATCTTTTGTAGCTTATTCGCAAATTGTATGCGCGAGTATATAACTTCAAACTTTACCCTCGGAGGCATTTAAGCAATTTGACCACTTTGGACAACAAATCGATAGCAGTTGCTGTTGTTGTTGTTGCTAAAATTCAATAAAGTTTTTATTTTTTATTATTATTATTGCTTGCAGGGGCTATAAACACGTTTGGGTCTTGCTGGCACTATCAGGCCAACTACTATGGGCGGCCTCCATGGCCTGCAGTTTTTGACGCGACTCGATTTTGTTATGGGGTTTGGGTATACATTTTGCGTTGTTGTATTTGTGGTGCCCACGATCGATTCGTGGCCATGGCAGTTGCTGCTCCAAATTTTCCAAGTCGCCGACAAGTCTTTCCTGTCTGAAAACAAGAATCTCGGCTACTGTTTCGGCGCACTATTCGCACTTAATTGAATGAAAGTGTCTGCCTTACGATACTCAATAATAATAATGGTCCTGTTTATCTGCCAATTTAAGTCTCATAAGACTGGGGCCTTTAAGTCTCAACCGCCCAAGCCTAGATATAATACTTTGCTTATAAAACAAACCTAGCCTTCGAGCCGACTTGAACTACGAGCACTTGCAAAATGTCAAAGGTGTAATTAATAGTTAAATAAAAACGACAGCAAAATCTTATTAATGATGCTTAGGCCAGAGTTAGACAGAGCCATTAGGCAGGCAAGCAATGGTAGCCTATAGAGTGCCAAGTGATCAAGCGGTTAAGCAAACAACCCCAAGCTCAAATCTAAGCCCAACTGGAACTGGTTGCGGCAATTGCCAATCATTTGCAGCCCGGCCAGCGGCATTTGGCCAATCAATAGGTATATATATAGTGATGCTAGTTCATATACATAGATACATGCATAGTCGTATTCGCGAAAACCAACAAGCAATCTTCAACCTAGAGACCTACTTTCACGTTGCATACAAAAATCCAAATGATGAGGAAAATGCCGACGATGAATTTAACGAAGAAAAAAAATATGAAAAACTACGGCATTTTCATTGAGGCTATCGCCTGATCGGAGGTCTCCGAATTGTATCAAGGAAACGCATACACATAAATTTATGCTAAGCCGTCAGGTAATGCTAATGCAGTTAGTCAGTCCGACAGTCAATCAGTCAGTCTGTTGGTCAGTCTGCCAACGAGTCAATTGCTGGCCAGTTCAACGGTTAACACCAATCATAAAACGTGGGCAGATACCGACTAGCAGCTGTTGAATATTCATTTGGCTTACTTTGCATTCACACACAAAAGATGATATATTTGCGCCGTGTCATTCGGCGCATTGTCTGGCCGCCCTCTGGCCAGTAAAAGATTCATATATGCGTACGACATACACATACATGCATACGTCTGTACATGGCACTAATCTAGTTTTATTTTTTGGCTAGCCCCAATTTGCATTACAATACGCGTTTGTCACTCATAAATCACACTTAATCTACTTACAACTCAATGCGGCCAATAGGCCAACAAGCACCAGCCACGGTTTATCCTTCACTGTCTTTACTGACATGGCTGCCAACTAGAACTCCAAATGGAGCTGGAGACCGTTGTGTATAAAGTGGACGTTTTGCTAGGATTTTGTGTTTTGTTTTTTATTTTTAAAATTTTCACTGCTTCAGTTGGGCACACATACACCGACACAAACACAAACACATGCAAGCCTATGGGCGAGTTGCTGTTAGCGGTGCTTTTTTAGACTGCTTCACGATTACGACCAGACGCTACGAACTCCAAAACCGCACTGAACGACGTTGCGTCTGCGCTCTGCTAGTGAAGAGTTGAACACTTTGGGACGTTACGCCGTCGAAGTTGCTGTCGACGTCAACAGCAGCGGGCTGGTTTTTGTTGTTGTTATACTCTGACCCATTGAAAATGAGTAAAAGAGGTATAATGGTTTTTTGAAAATGTATGTATCAGGCACAGGGAAGCAAATCCATAAAGTATATAGATTTATTCATGATCAGGACGACCAGCTGCGTCGATCTAGCCATGTTCGTCCGTCTCTGCAAATGAACCAAAACTATAGATGAATGAAATTCAAATTTAATTTGTATTTATTTCTATATATTTCTCTAATATCTTTCTCAATTTTCATTATATCGCTTATATCGATTTAAAGCTTAAAGTATAATTTGAATAGCATGAGAGATACATAAACCAAATTTAATATTTATGTATATTTGTTGTATATTACGTTTGGTATATTTACCCATTATGATGCTTTATTTTGGGTCAGCAAATTTTGTATAGATATGCACCGATGTTATTCAAGAAAGAATTTCCTATAGTGTATGACTAACAGAAGAATAAGCATTGCCACCGTGTATTTATATTTTCTTTTATGTTTGTTATGTTATATAGTAGCCAGCTCGGCGCTGGTTTCAGGGTATCCCCTAGTTAGGAACTCTAACACTGTCGCTATTTTTGCTTACAAGTGCTTAGTTGTTGTTGCTTTGGTACCAGCAGCAGCAGAAGCAGCAGCAACAGAAGCAGCAGCAGTTGGCGATGATGTTGTCGCTGTAGCTGTCGTTGTCGATGTTATTGTTATTGTTGCCATTGTGGTCTCTGTCTCATCAGCGTCGCCAATAATTATTAGTGTCGAAGCCCCCTCTAAAAAACATCAAACAGCGCTTGGCCGGTACCTTTGGGTCATGCTCAATTTTGCACATCTTCGCTTGTGACGTTTGTGAATTTTGCATTTTGTTTTTTTTGCCAATTTTTATGTGCATATTCAAATAATAATTTGCGCTATGAACTTGTTTCGCCTTAAACGCAATTTTAACATAGTTTTTATGTTGCGGCAACAATAACAATACCTGTATATTTATTGCTCAACTCTCCTAGAAACTTCGTGTCATTGGCTCATACAGATATACGGGTACAAATATGCAAAATCCAAAATCGAAAAACCTAACAATATACAATTAAATTTGATACAATTTGGGATTTTTACCACTGCGCTTATTGTTCACTTATTGGATTAGATATTAGATAATGCGCCTCTATCAATTTCAGATGATATATGAGGAGAAAGACAGCAGCGCTGGCAACTCGTGAGTTGCCGTCTCCAAGTTCACTGGAGGTGGTCCCCTCGTGGTTGTCGGATGCCCAGCGGCTGCTTTGCACAACTTTCTCGTGCAAGGGTTCGCGAAAGGTCAGCTTGCTGTTGAAGCTATAATTTTTGGGTTGTAACTCGTTGGCTAAGTCGCTTGCATAATTCAATTAACATGAAAGTTATAGTTACAATCAGTTCCATATTGAATATCACATAAATCTCTAGCCAATCTTAACTCAAAACGGCAACTTATCTCTATGCAAGTAATGCTTGAAGCCATGTTACAATCCTTTGTTCTTGATTTATCAATGAACAAACATTAGAATAGCGTACTTTATCTCGTTGTTACCTAAGGTATGGTCTATTCATTTTTGGTTTGCTATTGTTTAAAGTCCTTTATACTAATGTGCCAACAATGACATTCCAGCTTTTATGCATTGCCATTATTTGCGCATTTAATTTCACCACATTTTGCGCATTTAAATAAACATTCTCAATGTTTTGAGAAAACTAAAAGATCATCAAAGTCGAGATCAAGTTTCTGTATCTTTTAGTTTTCGTGGTGGAGGAATGGGTTTGACTAAATTTTGTCTTACAAAATGATGAATCTGCAATGAAAACAAATATACGCTTTATGGAAATATGATACTCTTCGATTGACATGGCTATAATTCCACTTAAGAATACATTTCTATATATTTATGTTTATTTCAAGTACCTATATTGTGTGCATAAGCTTTAAATTTGCCTTGTTTAATCTATTTTAATTTATAATAAGTTGGAAAGCTTCAACACCCCCGACAAGGGAATGGACAAATGTTTGATACAAATGGTAGAAAGTCTTCATAAAACATATTTCTTACTTTTCTTCTTTCTCTTTAAGCTTTATTGAAGAGATCATAATGCCATGTTTCCTTGATGAAATGTTTTCGTAATCAACGTGTGGTAGGGGAGACGAACAACCAACTGGTTTTCATTGCGTGAGAGCCTCTTATTATCTGCCAGTAAAACAAACTATCCCAGTGCGTGCCTTCACCCATGCGCATTTATAATTTGAATCGCCACAAATTAGTTTTGAATTTCTAAACTGACATTGAAGTTCAAGCCAGCGATGAACAACTAACTGCCCCAGCAGCAATTAACATTCAAAATTAAGACGTAAAGCTACCACATTGGGCTGCCCAGTTGCCGACTGGTCAGCTCGGCCCGAGCCGAGCCGAACCGGGCCGGGTGTTGTCAGGCCTGGTCAGGGCACTTTCGCAAATATACACATATAATATATATATATATCTATCCATATACATTGTTGACAATGCAATGGCCATTAGATTTATTGGCCAAGTATCTTCGCATGCAAATGGGTCTCTTTGAGTGAATTGATTCGTTAATAAAGCAAGTTCATGAGATTTTAGATAAAACAACCAAGACGCTTCGTAATTAGTCTTTGTTATTTCAATTCTATTTACGTTGCGCTTTTGGCGTGTTACTTTTATAATGATCATAACAATACCCTTCAGGCAACGGGTATACGTTTTATGTTTCTCCATATGTACATATATATCTGACGGTGACTGGCAATAACTTAAATATATAATCTTGAGCAAAATATAGATTACAAAAAATAATGTTTTTTTAAATACCATTCGAAACATTAGAATACGACTCAGAAGTAGTAGTACACAGACTATCAAAGGGAAACATATTGACAATTGCAGTTGCAAAAATTTTAAAATATTTTGGATTAATTATTCACATTTTATTGATTCGATAAAATTTGGTTGCTTTTAAGTAATCTTTTGGCTATCTTTAATTTTCAACGAATTAAATTTAAATGAAATGAAAACCTTGGAAAAAAGATTAATAGCACACTTCCTGTCTGATACATAATGTTACAAGTATTTAAACTGCGAGCGTTTTTCTTCCTCTCACTCGGTTTTTGCACTCACCTTACATTTCGTAGAGCGTATGCATATCAGGTTGGGATCGCGTGGGACGACGTTGCAGCAAAATTGAAACTTTCGAAACTGTTTTCAATGGTTGGCAAACAGCTCACATATTCAGCGCGCTAAGGTCACGCAAATTGCACAAATCCGGAGGGAGGCGCGTCTAAAAAAATATCACTAATCAAAATCGTTTAAAAACGAAACGCAGATAACTTTGACGTGTCACAGTACCCCACTAAAAAGTATTTGAATGGCACTTACCTTATACTTATCTCTATATATATATATATATCTATATATATATATATATATATAACTGTTTGTTCTAACTAACAGGGTGATTACTGAATGACCGATTGGGGTAAGTAATTTGGGGAAAAATTTCCTAACTCAGATCTTCTTCAGCAAGAATAGTGTTCCGCTTCATAGCTCTGGCTCACTTAATTAGCCTCTTCTTTCTTAAACGCCCTTCCCATTATTATTATTATTATTATTATTATTATTATTATTATTATTATTATTATTATTATTATTATTATTATTATTATTATTATTATTATTATTATTATTATTATTATTATTATTATTATTATCATTATTATTATTATTATTATTATTATTATTATTATTATTATTATTATTATTTTTATTATTTTTATTATTTTAATTATTTTTTTATATGATGTTACTGCATGCTAAGAGGGGGTTTCCGAAAATTCCCACTGCAACTGTCGCAGTTTGAAGATTCATGATGTGGATAAAAGGAAAATGTACACTAAAAACCTGATAGATTGGAATATAAAATATCATAGCATATTCATAAGGCTAAAAATCAACACACATTGATATAAAAATAAAATCCAAATATTGTATGGTTAGATGTTGTGTTAGAATTTTTTGAGAATTGCGAATAAGCCTGTATACACAATGTGGTTATTGTACAGGGTATTCAAATTGGAAAGGCAGCATAATACATTTTATGACTGCAATGACTCAACATTTTCTAATCAGACTAGGAGCTGAAGCCATCATCATTAGCGACAGCAAAACAAAATTCAGATTTTGCCGAAAAACAAACAACATTTGGAATATTATCAAATTGTTGATTTCAAGCAAATCGCGTGCCTTCAATTTTTAATTAACTTAATTAGCGGCACAAAAGAGCTTAGCTGGGTGCACATAGCTCTTGCAGACAAGACAAGAAGAATCCAAAGCTCTCTGACCTTGGGTAGCCATCTGATTGTTGATTGTTGTTGTCGCTGTATTCGCTGTATTCGCAAGCGCGTTGGAGGGGCGCCCATTGGCCTCTTGGGACCTTTCGGCTGCACATTGTTTATGACTTTATTGTTTAGCTGTTGCTGCTGCTTCTTCGACAAGCAGTGAAGCCGACGTCTTCTGCAATTCAAGGGCACGGGAGCTAACACGGTCAATATGTATGTATGTGTCTATATGCTGAGGAGCTGCTGTTGCTTCTGCTACCGCTGCTGCTGGCACATTTGATTAAATTGAATGGTTTACGTTGGCAGCCCGGAGGCCGTAATGATTTCTAATTTGAATTTTTACTAGCATGCATTTGCAAATAATGCTACGACTCTTGACTCTCGACTCGCGGACAGTTATGTGCCGTGCCGTGTTTGCCTTATTTATGGCCAGAGCTCGTGTAATTAATCTTCTGTTTAGTTGTAATACTAACAGCACACAAACATAAGTAAGTGCATGCTATCCAAGCCAAGTCCCAGTGCCACTTAATAGCCACATGCCATTAGTTTTCGCCGCCTCGCATAAATTTACAA